AAAAAAGCTCTGTCACAAGCTTCAGGAGTAGGAAAGTATTCATAGACACAAGTGCCAAGCCTTGGTGGGGAAATGGATTTTAGCCCTAGGTGTGGGATGCACAGCTTTTACAAAGCATTTAATTGAATTATGTCTCAGTTTTTATCACATAAAATAGACACAGAAGTTCCAGCCAAATGATACTGATGCTGTACACTAAGTGTCTTTGGTAGGAACAAAGGAAGACACCAGTAAAAACCAGCATTCTGGGAGGGCTGCATTTTATGCATGGACCTTGCGTAATTTGAAACTGACAAAATTCATGACTCACATTCTCACAGTAATAAATGAAAAGAGAAAATTACATGTGTTCACATTTTGTGCATAAAGTGAGATGCTAAGAATATTTTAAAATCATACTGTTTGAGATTTCCATGATTAAAAAGGATCACAAAGTTCCACCACTTCACCACTCTGTTATTTTTAGTGCTCTCATCATAGATTAATAACATACCAAGTGGAGTTGGGATTTAAGGAAACTAATGAACTTTCTCAGGGGCTTTACCTAAATTGTCTCAGTTGAGAAATGTGCTATTATCACTCCCATATTATAGCTAAGGAAACCGAGAACTAAGCAACTTGCTCAAGGCCACTAGCAAATTGGGAGAGTTTGGATTCATTTCTCAATTGTTTGGCTCTGAAGTCTATGATCTTTCCACTGAACTACTTGCATTATGTCCAGATCTATACTTTGTTCTTGGCCTCAGCACTAAGGGGTAGTTTATACAAGAACATATTTTTCCTCTCTGATAATAGCCTCAAAAAGTTCAATAGTTGGTCTCTAAATATTCCCCAGTCTCTTAATAATTTCCTATGAGACTTACCTTCCTGAATTTCCTTTTAACCTGAAATTAATGAGTTCCAGAAATTTACTATGTCATTCAAAACTGGCATATCCTTTTATTCTTTCAAGTTTTAATAATGCCTGTACATTTGAATATTCTTAATAGGGGGATTTTTATGAACATGTGTAGTCAGGAAATATCAGAGCTGGGAGAAGCAATGGGAATAATCAGGTGTACTCCTCTAATTTTACAGGTAGAGGCTCAGGGAGGTTAAAGAGGATCAATGCCAGTGCCAGCTCCCCAAACACAAGTTTCCAAGGAGCCTGTTTATTACTCTTTTTGTTAGAACAGCCGGTCTCAGAAGGTGTCAGAAGACTGGCAAACTGGTTCCAAAGCAAATGGTTTTTATTTTTTTAAGAGTGTTAAGGTTTCCGCACAGACTACAGCATGGGCTGGAGTGGTTGGCTCAGTCTGGACCCAACTCTCTTGTGTTCTGCTTCCCTAAGCCAGGTAGCCTCAAAGGAATGCCCAGCTGCTTGGCCTTCAATGTCACCTGTTGGGTAAAAACAGGACTGTTATCCATCTGCAGAGATGGTGTATTTTATTAAAACATCCCTCAATTAATGTTACTTTCATTTCCCCTTGCTTATAGGAACTTGAACAGGTCATTACATTTTTGGAAGTTTCTCTATTCATCCATACCTGGCCACACATCATCTTGACTTTGAGGCTGTCTGATTAGCAAAGGTTGGCACAGCCTGACCATGAACAGGGGCGTAACTTCATCTCTGCCCCTGCCTTTCTCTCCCCAGCTACCTTCCGCTTACATGAACCAAAAGTTTCCTTCTTTCCCCAGACCTCTATGAGCATAAGTTCATCAATTGTCGGTTTATCAACTCCACCTTTCTGGAGCAGAAGGAGGGCTGCCACATGGACTTGGAGCAAGACAATGACTTCCTGATTTACCTCGTCAGCTTTCTGGGCAGCCTGTCTGTCTTGCCTGGGAATATCATTTCTGCCCTGCTCATGGACAGAATTGGAAGGCTCAAGATGATCGGTGAGTTGTTCGTGGTGTCACATCTGGGGGTTCCAATGGGCTGGGCTAGGGTCGTTTCATGTGTATTAAAGTAGTGGAATTTTTCCTTTTACTAAAAAATTCTTACATGGAAAACCAAATGAGTAAGATGGAACCTGCTGCTGTAGAGCCACAGATACATGTCTTTAGAACCCCAGGGCTCCCTGGAAATAGCCTAGACCTTGGTTCAGGGAAGGGACTTTTCTTCATTTCCTGACTGAGAAATTCTATGATAGTCACTCATTCTATTAGCACTTCAATAGGGGTATTAACTATATCCACCCTCCCTCTTCATAAGAGTATTGTCAGAAAAACATATAAAATGCTGTTACATGATAATTTGACGGTTGAAGATAAATTATATTATTTTTGTTATTTAATAGTAATACCAGTTTGGGCTTTGGAGTTGGACAGACCCATGTTGAAATGCTATCACTTAAAGGCTGTGTGACTTTGAACATGTTCCTTTACTTCTCAGGGCCTCAGTTTCCTTATTTATGAGATAGGAAACCTATAGCTAGCTGATAGGGTTTTGTGAGGATTGAATGTAAGGTACCCAAGCATCTTGTAATGCTCTGCACATTGTAGGTTCTCCAAAATGGCAGCGATCTTCACGTATGCCTGGCTTCCTTCATCCAGGATTTGTAGCAATTTATTAGAGAAACATATGCCATGCATGGTAAACAAGAAACAAAATGTATACATTTAGGGCCAGAGAAAATGTACATTAGAATATGAGGCAAGGCCAGGGATGGGGAAGTGGACCACACATTAAGAAACATGCCATTAAGGATCTGCCCTAGGGATGTAGTCGATTAGGAAAATTAATACCAAGCTTCCTAGCAGCAATACTGAAGGGGAAACAAAGTAAACCACACAGTCCTGTTGTTGAAGAGAAAATTGATCAAGTCTTCATGAGGAGGGAATTTTTTCCTGGTGTCTTGGCTCGTACTGAATATCGGTATTATAAATAGTAGCATGCATATTCAGAATGGTGAGCGCAAGGAATGCCTGTGATTTCAGCTTTTTAATCTTGTGGTGAGGGTGGAGATTCATCTTTTAGGTATGGCAGACTGAGCTCTCTGCTCTGTCAGGACAGTGCCCTGGTTAGTCCTGAGGCCCCCTGAGAGAAGGGACAATGGTTTACTGATTTCTGTAACCCCTGTGCCTGGTACAGTGCCTGCCATGGAGTCGACACTTAGTAATGATACTGAACTGACCAGAACTGGTGAAGATGGTCTCTTTCTTAGGTTAGCCTGACGCACCAAGCTTTTAGCAGAAGACCCTACAGGATGGCAACTTCTAAAAATACTGTTATACAACTGGGAGTCAGATGGCTGTCTCTGCCAAGATTAGATTTATGAGTTCACACAAATTCCTTTGCTTCTCTGAGTTTCCATTTCATAGGCGTTAAAATAATAACTCTTTACACCAGTGAGATAAGGGGTAGATAAGGGATGCAAGAGCAGGTGTGTGACACATCTGCCATTTTGTCACCAGCCTTCTGGGTCCCAGAGTCTAACAGTAGATTCTATGGGCAGGTCCTGAAGTAGCTGAGGATGTCCTGGGGAAGGCAGGGTCTACAGAGGTGGGGTGGGCATGCATGTAAATGAGAATGGGGCATGCAGGCATGGATAGGACATTGTTCCAGAGTTGCATGTGTCCCCGTAACTGCCAGTTTCCTTCCTTTCTAGTTGTCTCCTATCTGTTTGCAAAGCACTTGCCAGGCACCTGCTTACAGCCCTGCCTTCCCAGAGTTGCTAGAATCCATGTAGACAGTTATCCTTTCCCAGCTCATTACCAAGGTCTGGCACTGGTCTGAGGGTGAGCGTCCAGCCAAGGCCCACTCCCAGGGAGGCCTTTCTCACTGAGGCCAGGCTAACCTTCTTGTTTCTTGCCAACCAGAACACCTCCCTCCTGCAGGGTCCTGGTGCCGGGTGAAGAGCTCACATCCCATTTCCCTGCTGGTTGCCTGGGACCTGCTTTCCTACCACCTTCTGCTAACCGTATTCCCACCCCATCTCCAGCTATTTTCCTGGTCTGCAACGTGTTCTGTCATGACCTGAATCCACCTTGAACTTGGAGATTGCATCCGAAGCTCCCCTAGGCTGGACTTACTGGGTTCGGGCAGGATTTGGTGCAGTCTCCTTTGGATGGGATCTCTGATCACCAGCTGTATAAGGGCCATCCTGCTTGTTCTCCACTTAGCCCATCTCCAACCCAGAGATCAGGTCTGCCCTGCTCCGCCCTGCTTGGAGCCCTGGGAGGCTAACCCTGTGGACTGCATACTCAGCGTCCTGGAGGGGAAAAAGAACACCGCAGGTGGTTCTAGTGAAGAGACTTTATTGATGGGGTGGATTTTACAGGTGTGGACAGGGTTATGTGAACAAATAAGGCAGGTGAGGTACGCACACACTAGCAGAAGTGGGAAGCAGTGGCCACCTCTACGGCTGTGGGGACAAGGGGAGAGAATTGCACGGGTAGATCTCAGTGGGGGCTGAGACCATGCGGAAGAGCTGCCTGGGAGGAACTGCGGTCCTGGTGTGATGCAGCCACTGCTAGAAAAGTCCTTCTAAACCAGGGCAGGAGTTGGGCAGAAATACTGCAACCCCCTTGTCCTCCCAAGTGACAAAGGAGTCCATGGGTTAGCTTCCCAGTGAGCAGAGCTGGGCTGAGAGGGCGGGTCAGGTCTCCAGGGCGGGGATTCGGGGTAAATGGAGGTAGCAGCACAGCCTTTCTTCAGGCTTCCTTCAGCAGCCCGTCTACAGACATGTCCTCGTGGAATGTAAGCCCCATGAGGATGTTTTTTAAATTTATTTTTTACTTTTAATTGACAAATTATAATTGTATATATTTGTGGGGCACGATGTGATGTTACGCCATATCTATACAATGTGGAATGATTAAACCAAGCTAATTGACATATCTGTCATCTCACATGCTTGTCATTTTTTGCGGTCAGAAAATATATTCTCAGCAATTTTGAAACATACGGTACGTTATTATTAACTGTTGTCACCATGCTGTGCAATAGATCTCAAAAACTTATTCTTCCTGTCTTACTGTAACTTTGTACCCTTCGGCCAACATTTCCCCATTTCCTCACCCACCCTCCCCCTCCCCCAGGCCCTGGGATCCACCATTCTACTCTCTGCTTCCAGGCACTTCCATGAAGGTCCAACTGAACTTCCAGGAGTTCAATTGCTTTAGATTCCACATATAAATGAGATCATGCGGTATTTGTCTTTCTGTAGCTGGCTTATGTTACTTAGCATAATGTCCTCCAGTTTCATCCATGCTGTCACAAATAACAGAATTTCCTCCTTTTTAAAGGCTTTTTAAAGCACTGTGCATATATGCCACATTTTCCTTATCCATTCATCCATCTGTTGATGGACACTCAGGTTGATTCCCCATCTTGGCTGTTGTGAATAACGCTGTAGTGAACATGAGAGTGTAGATTTCTCTTTGACATACTGATTTCAAATTGAGAGTGGGTTTTGTAGCTGATACTGATGTATCTAAAGCACTTATCACGATGTCTGGCACATAATAGATTCTCAACAAATACCCCCATCGGCCCTTTCCCCAGTCACTCTGGGCTGGGCAGCACCTTAGAGCAGCAATTTCAAAATCCTTCCTGGAGGCTAACTCTGGTGCTCTGACCCATGCAGAGGGCTCTAATCCCTTGGTCAGGGAGCCATGTGAGGGTTCAAGCAGTGCCATTTCCGTATGGAGGCTACACCTAATACTTCAGGTAACCTGTTACTTCAGGTGTATCTTTGGGATGGGAGATGGACAAGAACTGTGGGTGACAGCCTTGTTCAAGACACAGTCTCGATGTTTCTTTCTGCCCTTGGACTCTCCCTGCAGGCGGCTCCATGCTGATCTCAGCGGTCTGCTGCTTCTTCCTGTTTTTTGGCAACAGTGAGTCTGCGATGATCGGCTGGCAGTGCCTGTTCTGTGGGACCAGCATTGCAGCCTGGAATGCTCTGGATGTGATCACCGTGGAGCTGTATCCCACCAACCAGAGGTCAGTTCTTCCCTGGGTTTCCCTCTAGGACTTGTATGGACTTTTTTGGCCAGAAGTCTACTTGCTCACTAGATCCTGCGCCATGCACGGCCATCACAGTCTTCCTGGTATTCCATGAACAAGACGTTTCCTAGGTTGTTGAGTTTCTCCTGCATGGGGGCTGTCATAGACCTGGAAGTGGGAAGACTAGGCCTTGATAGGGTTGGGTGGATGGCAAGAAGCAAAGGACAAGAGCAAACTGTGTCCAGGAGAGAGGAATAAGAGTGAAAAATTGGCAAAACCATATGTGTCATGTAACCCACAAAAGAGGTGAAAGGAGGCCTGCCAAGGGGAGAGAAAGCAAAGAGGTGAACTAGAATAATACAGGGTGAGGGCAGGGAGAGGACAAAAGGTGGGGATGAGGCACAGAGGCCAGGGCATTTGCAGAGCCAGTGGCAGGATGCCCAGGGTTTATTTTTATTTTGTGCAGGCCACGTGGGAAGAGGCCTAGGTTAAAGGCTTAGGGCCAAGGCCATTACTTTGTAATTGAGTCTCTGCTTGGAGGGAGAATTGTGAATTTTAAGGATAGCAGATAAGAGACTCTGTGGTCAAAATGAAATGTGAGGTGGTGTGGAAGGTGGGTAAATGAAATTCTGCAAAAAACTTTAATGATATTTCTAAAATTGGTGACAGAGGGATATAGGTAACTGTGGCAAAGTACAACGTATTGTATTTGGAGCCCTGCTTCTTTGAATCAAAGGATTGCTAAGTTTTACAAAAAGTAAGGGGGATTCACTATTATTTGAATGGGATGTGATCTTACATCTAGGACATCTAAGGAGAATTAACTAAAGAGACTACTAGAAACTATTAGATAATTTGGTCAGGTGGTCAGTAATAAAACTAACTTCATAATGTATAGGTTTTAAAATTTATCAAAAAAATTACAAATGCAATTGAAATTAATTTAACAACAGCAGAAATCATAAAATAATTAGGAGTCTGTTCAATGAGTAAAACATTTATATGAAGAAAACCATAAAGCTTTACTAAGAGATATAAAGGCAGACAAATATATGTCAAGATATACCTCATTTTGGGTAAGAAGATCGAATCTTACAAAAATGTCAAATTTTATTTAGTTTTTCTCTAACTTAGAAAAGTCACTCAAAACTCAATGAGCTTTTTCCTCTGGGAACTTGAAAAAAGTTTATTTGGAAAAACACACATGAGAAAATATCCAAGAAAATACTAAAACAAACAAAAAGACTGGGCTGGTGATTATAAGGCTACCGTGTGGCACAGTTATAGACGAAGATGTAAGAGGAATTTTAAGTCCAAAAATAGACCCACATTCTTAATAAACTTGTGGTATGAAAAAGACACATTTTACTTCAGCTGGGGAGAGAGAGTATTGGGAATATTGCGTCTGTATATAGATGGGGTCATGAAAGTATCAGTGGTTAATAACAGGCATCACTGGGAAGTCTGATCGAGGGATAATAATTAGGGATAATAATTAGATTTTGCCATGGGTGACAGAAACCCCAAATAACTGCAGCCTTAAAAGGCAGGTATTTCATTTTTCTCTCCTGCAAGAGGCTAGAGTAGGCAGTGCAGGTTCTTTCTTTCTCTTTATTCTTCTTTGCCTGGACTCAGCCGTGGTCTGTCTGTGTTCCGTGAAGCAGAGTATAATAAAAACGATGAAGGATAACAGTGCAAAAGGCCCACTCATGCACCACCCGTCTTAAGGAATTTTCTCCGGATCTGCCACTTGCACTTACATTCTACTGGGCAAAACTAAGTCACATGGCCACACTCACAGCAAGGGAGTCTGGGAAATGTAGTCTTCTATTTGGAGGCATGCTATTTGAGGACATCTAGCAGTCTCTGCTGCAAGAGGATTGAGAATGTTATGGGGGAACACTTACACTTTCTGCCTTGTATACGTCTTCATTCTTTCATGATTTCTACAATAAGCATGTACTACCTGTAAACAATTTTAAAAGAGTTATATTTGAAAAGAAAAAGGAAAAAGCTTGAAGGAAACACTGAAATGTTAATTGAGGTCATTGCCTTTCAGTGAAGAGGCCAGACATCCCTGCATCTTTATATTATTCTGCATTTCCAAATTTGACTAAAATGAGAATGCGTTATTTTTATATTTAGAGAAAACTTCCCTCCCACACCTCCTCCTGCCCCCATGACCAGGAAAAGAAGGAACCCAGTCCCAGTTACCTAATGAGGTCCAGAATTTCAGAATTATTTACTTTCCTCTTCTTTTACAGGGCAACAGCCTTTGGCATCCTCAATGGATTATGCAAATTTGGCGCCATCCTGGGAAACACCATCTTTGCTTCTTTTGTTGGGATAACCAAAGTGGTCCCCATCCTTCTGGCTGCTGCTTCTCTGGTTGGGGGCGGCCTGATTGCCCTTCGACTGCCAGAGACTCGAGAACAAGTCCTCATGTGAACAATCTATAGGGAAAGGAAGGTTGAAAGAATCTTGTCCAGGACACGTAAATGCATCCACACTTCCTGCCTGTCACTGTCCGGAGGACACCTTGGGTAGCACGGGAGAAGTTGATTTTGTGACCCCTAGTTTAGGACTCACGTCAGCTGTCAATGTGTTTGTAACTCAGGTGACTGATTTGGGGGTGCCCTGAGCCACCCTTAGAATCACAGAGCTGCGTGTTTGGCTTCAGGTCTTCCCAGCCCAAGGCGGCGGGAGGACCCTTCCATGAGTGCACACGCTAAGCAGGGAGTGCGCATTTCCCTAAGTGAAGTGCAAGGACTTATTTGCATTTCAAAAGGAATCTGAGGATGAGAAACACTCAAGCTCTTCCATAAAGCTCCTTGGAGCCCAGTGATTTAACAAATTGTCTTGGCTAGAAGTTAGAATCATTATGTGAGCATTGGGCTTGAAGTACAGGATACATATATTTTTGCATTTAAGAGTGTCACCTATCATATTTTCCACTTGAAAATTGGTACAATAGCATTGAAAATACTCTGATATAGAAAACCAAATATTTGAGCAATACCTATACAGATCTCTCTTTCCCCTAAGTGTCCTAAGCTTTCCATGATGATTAGGTGATAAAATTAAGAATGATATTTATTTCTATTTTGCTCTATTCAATGAAACTTAATGGGATAGGTGTTCTGTAAACTAAGTTTGTATATAACTTTATTTGGGTTTAATTGCCGTGAATGGTATCCGCAAATATTGCCAGCATTTTAGCCATATTTTGGGAGAACTTGGTGTTTGTGGTCCCAGGAAATTAGGTCCGATTGAATGAAATGCAAACACAATTTCTTATAGCCATTTAACTTGCTGTCTGGAGGATGCACTTAACAAACTCATATCGTACAGTTCATTTAATCCAGGCGCTTTTCTTTGTGTGGGTGGAGTGCGTAGTTACTCTTCTCTCTTACCCAGATCACTTGAAGCTCACCCGTCTTCAATACTGGCATTTGAGTTTTCTGCTCACCCAGAAATAACACTGAGAAGTGTTCAGTGGCCTCTGGCACTCTCTTTGTAGGCTATAATCAAACAACATGGGGGACTGAGGGAGGGATGGGGAAGTATAGCCACAGTTCTTCCAAGTGTAAATACTTTCTTGCTTGTTTTGGCAGTAAAACGCTATCCATGTTTGTTATAATGGTCAGGTCCCGTGAGAAATCCATGCTATGTGTTCATTGCTTTTGAAACAGAGGCCATGGAGTGAGAGTTAGGGAGCTAGTGGATGTCAAATATGCTTTTCGTCAGTGCTCTAAGAGAACTCTTTCCTGAAGTCCAGTTAGGAACATGAACAGGGGTATGAGTAGGGGTGGAGCCTAGGACAGACTGCTCTGGCCAGTGGCAGCCATAGACTGAAGTCTTGACTACATGGAAGAGAAACAACTTGTTGGCCCTGAGAACTGTCTAGCAAGGGAAGGGACAGTGAGCTCTGAACTCCTGCCACTGGAGGTGAATTTGCCCAGGCCCAGTGAACTTCAGTCTGCAAGAACTAGTTCTTGGAGTTGATTTGCAATGCTCTCAATGGCCATAAAGTGCCGCACTTTCCCTAACAGAGATCTCCAAATATTTAAAACAGAATAATAATGGCTGCATTGAGTGTTTTCTCAGTTTTGGAGAAATGCTTAGGTCCTGTGATAGCTTCAGGCCATCTCTCTGTAATTTTCTCAGTTAACAGGTTGGCAGGGGTAAATTTTATAACACCTCTCCACCCTTGACTTGAGATCAGTTTTAATGGTTAAAATGTTTACTCTGTGTCTCTTGAATCCCACCTATTCATTCAACTCTGATTTGACACCCTGATTCCCCTAAATATATATATATATATAAAATATATACATGTACCACTGTGTATTAATGTTTTTCTCAGTGTTTTATAGGCATTACCTAACATAATGCTATGTTGACAATGAGAGGCCTGGTGTAATATAGTTGTAATATACTTTCCGTATTCTTGTGATATGAAATACAGTGGCTGGGTTCGTAAAAGAGAATTGTGTATATCTGGGATTACCACATCTCTTATATCGTTATTCTTCAACAGGATAATATAATTCGATGAGAAGCTACCACTTAAGAAATTTACGAGCCAGAGCCTGCATTTCTAGTTAAGATGGATCTTACAAATTTAAAATCTGATTAATTTTTGAGTGCTGGGGTGGCTGCAATAATTTAGGTGGTTACCTCCACGTGATCTCCAAGCTCTAACTTCTACATTACCTTTATGGCTCCTTAAACCAACCACCTAACCAACTGAGAGAAGTTCCCATCTCATCCATCACTTAGGCCTCTGTAGAGGGTGCAGCCAAGCTTTTCCCATGAACGATTGTCTGGCATAAGTACCTGGCCACTTCTTAAGTGCTGTCACTCCCGCTGAGATAAATGTGTCTTTAAAAATAGTCTCTGTGGCAGGTCATTGGGGGATAATGTACAGCATTTCTGGTCATTCACTCTTTTTCACTTCATTTTCTACCCTGAGAAACTCCCAGTGTCGGCCGTCGGGGGTTAAAGGGATGAGACTCTCCTTTGTCGAGCAAATCTGTTCACAGTTCATGATGATGTATTTTACGACGCTCAGTTTGGGAGTAGTTGCTTTTCATAGTCTCAGCTGTATTGTGTCATCTCCTGATGCTGATTTTTGATCTTATGTTTTATTAAAAATAATTAGTGAAAGAGGTGTGCCTGTTTGTGACGTTTGTAGCACATTAGCCTGAGGTCATGTGATAAATAACCCCAAACCTAGGTTTCCTGGTACCTTGTGTTAGTTTGTCGAAACTAATAATAAAAATCACTGTAAGCAAACCTTTAAGAACTGGGGTTAGAGATTATTTCCAGGCACTAAGGTCTCTTCTGTATTCCTAAATTGACTGAATCAGCTGGGAGAAATGCTGAGCATAACTTCCTTCAACTTTTTGTTTTGCTTATGGAGACCTTGAGAGGTTAGATGATGTGGCCGAGGTTACGTGTCGTGCTGGGTGTGGGTTCCAAGGCCCACAGGGGTGCTTGCTCTGCAGTTCTGGTCTAGTCCCTTGGTCGCTGACACCCTGTGACAGAACCCTCTATACAGTCCCTGGGCAGCAGGACAATGTGACGAACGCTTCCTTCCCCTGGGGCTATTCGCTGAATACTCACTTGGTTTTACCTAGAGTGAGTGGAAGGACCAGTATAAACATGGAAAGGTTAGTAATTATCCACCTATTCATTCATTCATTTAGCAAATCCTTATGGAGACTCTCTCTGCTAAACCTGGGAACACGGTGGTGAAAAAACTGGTCACAGGTCCTGTTTCCTGCCTCAGCCCACTTAGAGCGGGTGGGCAAGAAGGATATTAGATTGGCTGCAAACAACAGAGCACGATTACCTTACACTCAGCACAGCTTTTGTTCATAAGAAGGTTCTTAACTACTTTAGCCGTCAGCTGTGGATTCCCGGTGTGGTTGCTCCCTCCCGTTCCTCTTTTCCTAAAGGAGTGCGCCAATTTCTTATGTTTATAAACCAGGTAAGGGAAAAGATGCACTTGCTCATTTTCTGCAGATGTCATCAGCTTTTGCTTAACCAATTTTACGGAAAGTTTTACATGGATGAAGGGATGGGGCTGGGAACACAAACGGGACATTGGTTAGTGGAGCAGGATGCCCGGTCACCCTGGGAAGGGTGTTTCTACCTCCACTTCTGGCTTTTCTAGGAGCCATCGGTGTTAACCGAGCTAACAGTGATGCAATATTTGGGATTTAGTGAGGATTAGGTTGGACGGTGTATAACTGAAAACCCAAATAAGCCGATTTATAATAAGTTTATAATAAGTTAAGGGTTTATTTCTCCCTCGTATGAAGGGAATCTGGAGGAAAGAAAGTCATGCTTGATCTGATCATTTGGCTTCCTCATGGGCTGAGAGGGCTGTTGAAGTGCCGGTCCTCACATCCATGATTCAGGCGGGAAGCAGAAGGAAGGGCAAGGGGGAGCTGCGCCTCCCAGCTGAACCGGCCTCCCTTGAAACTGTTGTCCTGGAAGGTCTGCCCAGTCACTTCCATGTGTGTGTCACTGACCTCCCTTTGTTGCAGGGGAGGTGGAGAAACGTGGCATTTACTGGGAACGTTGCCACCTTTCCTCCAAATTGAGGATCTTAGCAATAAGGGAGAAAGCGAGAAAGGTTAGGTAGATCCATGCTTCTTAAACTTTTGTGTGCTGCAGAATCACCTGGAAGGGTGTTAAAGCTCACCCTGCTGGGCCCCATCCACGGCAGTTCCGATTCAGTACATCCGGGGTGGGGTCTGAGAATTTGCATTTTTAATAAACTCCCAGGTGATGTAGATGGTGTCAGTCCTCAAGCTGTATTTTGAGTAGCACTGACACCCTGCCAATAGGCAGTACTTTGATTTGTTAGGGGAAGTTGTATTGCTCTGATAACTTAAAACCAGCCCAACCAGAAACTCAGAAAAGCTAGCAGCCCATGAAAAATGATCACCATCTTCCTAGAGTTCAAAGACTTGTGGCGGTGCAACAGTAACTCAAAAAGGTCAGTAAAAATATTTCCTTCCCTAGAAACTGGTTTTACTCAGGCCTTGTCCTTATGGGCCCACGTCTGGTTGTAGGGCTTTAATTATACTTCCGAGGCTCGGCAGAGGGTGAGCCCTTTCACCTGGGGGTTGGTGATCTCCATTTCAGCCATTTCCACCTGGCAATGATTTTTTGTAGACAAACATGCTTGTGGCACATTGTCATTCCTTGGGCTTTATAATGGGGCTCTTTGATCCTACAAGCTTTCCCCTACCTAGGGACACATAGGGGTGATAGAGATGTTGCCAGATGTGAGCCTGACCTGCTGACAGTCAACCTGAACTTGCTTAGAAAGGACTCTTGAAAACGGTGAAAAGCTTTCTCCTTTAGAGAGGAGAAAGACTGAGTGGGGTAAGTCCCTCCGCGGAGATCTCATGTAACACAGATTTACAGAATCGCTACTGTGATGCCCCCCCTTCCAAAACACCGTGCTATCTCACATGTAGGCACAGCCCTAGGGACAGTTTGGAAAATAAATCACACAAAGCCCTCGATTTTAAGGCAAGCTCAGAGCACGTTTTGTGTAATTTGAGGAGGCACAGCGGGGAATTTCCATGCATGGCTTCTGTGGCAGCAGTGAGGTTTCGGAAAAGATTGATGATGAAATGAAACAGAGACTAGAGCTATCCACAAATGTTAAATGGAGATATAAAAGTTGTTATAGTCATTGCTAATTACAGAATGAGAGTGAGATTTATTTAGCAGGACCATCCAATACCCTCCAGAAGGTTCAATTTATGAGCTGGAGAACAAAGAGTTACGATCATCTCACCTTAGAATGCACATTTAGCTGTCCATTTACCTTTGGTCCTATTGGCTTAGAATATTTTAAAATTTCAGAGACCATAAATATGTATTCCTTTAGAAGGCACAGGTCTTCCAGGAGCTGTCCTCTACCAAAGTTAATGTGGTCACCGCATTTGATAATTGTGCTGGGTAGCGAGGTTTATTTAATCATAACTACTGTCGCTCAGGAGAGCGAGCCATTCAAAAACGAATGGCCTTAGCCTCCACTTCCTACATATGATATATAATCTCCAGTCATTCATATTTCCCTAAATCAGCATTAGTGATCATTTCGACAGGGTAGGAACAAAAGGCCTATAACACTAGCTTTCCAAATCACCACCAAATGC